CAATTTGCAGTCCCACCCAAGCTATTTGCAGTGGTCTTTCTATATGAATAGCCTGTCCTCATTCAGGCTTTAGATTTTCCTAAAACCTCTTCAACAAGCAGCAGCTGGCCTCAGCATGCCTCATACCTCTCAATAAGAGGCCCCAGGCCCAACATAAGTAGCAGCCATCTGCAGGTCGCTCTGTACCTCGTGCCAGGTGGCCCCAGGCAGGGCATAGGCCAGTGATGGTGAACCTTTTGAGCTCGGCATGTCAGCATTTTGAAAAACCCTAACTTAACTCTGGTGCCGTGTCACATATAGAAATTTTTTGATCTTTGCAACCATAGTAAAACAAAGATTTATATTTTTGATATTTATTTTATATATTTAAATGCCATTTAACAAAGAAAAATCAACCAAAAGAATGAGTTGGGAGGGATATCTTGTGTCATAAGTTCGCCATCACTGGCATAGGCAGTAACTGACTTTGTACCTCTTGGGAGACCCAAGAGCCAATGCACATGACTTTGGAAGAACTGGAAGATAATGAAGATGAATTTAATGAGGAAGACCAACGAGCTATTGAAATGCACAGGCAGCAGAGACTGGCTGAGTGGGAAGCAACGGAAGCAAAGAACAAATTTGGAGAAGTTTTGGAAATCTCAGGAGAGGATTATGTTCAGAAAGTTACCAAAGCTGGAGAAGGCCTGTGGGTGATCTTGCACCTTTACAAACAAGGGGTTGATTCGCCTCTGTGCCCTGATAAGTCAGCACTTCAGTGGACTTAGCAGGAAGTTTCCTGAGGTCAAATTTATCAAAGCCATTTCCACAACCTGCATACCCAATTATCCTGGAAGGAGTCTGCCCACAATATTTGCTTACCTTGAAGGTGATATCAAGGCTCAATTTATTGGACCTCTGGTGTTTGGTGGCATGAACCTGACAATAGATGAGTTGGAGCGGAAATTATCTGAGTCTGGAATAACCAAGACAGACCTGGAGGAAAACCTTAAAAAACCAATTGAAGACGCATTGCTGTGCTTGGTGTGGGGGCTCGGTCCCCTTGAAGAAGGGCAGCGATTTACAGGATGCGTAAGGCCGAGGCCGCCAAAATGTGCTGAACTTAATGTGACAAATTGTCTGGATTTTTTAAAAAAGAAAAAGTAGGACTAAATCCTTTGGTTTTTAGCCTTTTATAGTTATGTTTTATATCTCATAGATCTCAGAAACAATCATTGCTGCAAAACCTATTAAATTTCTTGGAACTCTTTTTTAAAATATGTTTTTATTGATTTCAGAGAGGAAGAGAGAGGGAATCATGATCGGCTGCTTCCTGCACGCGCCTAGTAGGGATCAAGCCTGCAACCCTGGAATGAGCCTTGACCAGGAATGGAACTGTGATCTCCTGGTTCAACCGCTGAGTCACACCGGCAGGGCTAGAACTCTTTTTTTTCCTTTTATTTTATTTTTTTAAAAGAAACTTTGTGTCCTCACTTGCCACTCTTTTTTTTTTTTTCAGGCATCAATATTTATTAACACAAGACAAAGAAAACACATTCAATGAGTTAATAGAACACTGTCCAGCCAGATGTTAAATTTAAAAATGTATATCTAGTCTAATTTCAAATAAATAAAAAACTTTATACATAATTACACAGTACTATAGTTTGAATTTGACACTGGTAAATATTTTGACAGAAAGTAAACAAAATGGCATTTAGGACTAAAAAAAGTATTCTTATATCTTTACACTCCCTTCCTCTGGACAAATAGCATGGCCATCTACATATACCTAAACCAGAAATGTATGAATGATAATGAAAAAGCCTATTGTGTATTTGGAGTACTGCAGCCTCTTGTTCCAAATACTCTTGCTTTTACATCAAAGCAGACAACAAAAACAACACTAAGGCATAGATCATGTTGGAGTTTGAGGGTGAGGTGGTAACTCCTCATTAGCTTTAGTCTAAAAGATTCCTGGATATTTAAGAAAGTAATTTATTTGGCCAAGATATTGAGCACCATGCCTGGGGCAGAGACCTTAATAAAAAACCTAAGGCCTCAGGCCCTTTGTTGATTCAACAAAAGCATTAAACTTGCCACTCTTTTTAAAAATATATATATTTTATTGATTTTTTACAGAGAGAGATAGAGAGTTAGTAACATCGATGAGAGAGAAACATCGATCAGCTGCCTCTTGCACACCCCCTACTGGGGATGTGCCCGCAACCAAGGCACATACCCTTGACGGGAATCGAACCTGGGACCCTTCAGTCCGCAGGCCGACGCTCCATTCACTGAGCCAAACCGGATAGGGCCCTTATATTTTATTTTTTTGTTTTATTTTATTTTTAATTTATTGTTTTTCTCTTTGCTCTTCTTTGGAACTCTCTTTTAAATTTAAAACATTTCCTTTTTTTAAAAAACCAGCTATTGGTATGGCAAAAACAAAAATTAAAAGAATGAAGTTAGGAATATTAAATTGGAGGAATTGAGGGATTTTCATAGGAGTATGGTTGATAGCATAAAGTACCAAGCAGGCTGCTTTGTAGAAATAGATGATTCTATACTTTATTTGGAAATGCACAGGACTTAGAAGGGCCAAGATAATCTTGAAGAACAAATCTGGAGGACTTTGATTTCATGACTAAGTAATTAAGCAAGTATATTAAGACATAATTGACTTGGTGTAAGGGCAGGTAAGTCGATCAATGGAACAGAATAGAGGATTGAGACCTAGATAACTTCATGTCTATATGAAAAAAAAAAAAGAAAAAAACTCACACCATATGCAAAAATTAATTTGAGCCTTAGCTGGTTTGGCGCAGTGGATGGAGTGATGGCCCATGGACTGAAGGAGCCCAGTTGGATTCCAGTCAAGGGCATGTACTTTGGTTGCAAGCAATCTCGGGCCCTGGTTGGGTGTGTGTGTGGGAGGCAAACCGATTGATATGTCTCACATCCATGTTTCTCTGTCTATCCCTTCCTCCCACTCTCTCTCTAAAAAAAAAAAAAAAAAAAAAAAATCAATGGAAAAAATATCCTCAGGGGAGGATTAACAAAAAAAAAATTTAATTTGAGATGGATCATAGACTTAAGGGTGACGCTAAAACTATAAGCTTCTAGAAGACAGATAGGAGGAAAATCTTCATGGTCTTGGGGTGGGCAAAGCTTAAAAACATGACACAAAAAACACTAACCATAAAATAAAAATTTCCACAAGTTGAACATCATCAAAATAAAAAATTTCCACTCATCTAAAGATATTAAGGTGAAAAGGAAAGCCACGACTGGGAGAAGATATTCTGAATATACATACCTGGCAAACAACTCCTATCCAGATATAAAGAACTCCTACACATCAAGTAACTCAATTTATAAAATGGACTCTCAGAGGAGTGTCTGTGAACAGGCATTTCACAGACGAAGATATTCAAATGGTCAATCAGCACATGAGAAGGCGCTCAACATCACTACGCACCAAAGGCATGCAAATATCATCACACGGAGGTATCACTGCATACCCACCAGAAAGGCTAAAGGCAAAGGTCTGACAAGACCAAGTGTTGTAAGGGTGTGAAGCGACTGCCACCCTCATACACGGCCGGTGGAATATAAAGTGGTACAGCTACTTTGGCAAAAACTGAAAGTACAGATTATCTAAGAAATTTTTAGAGAATCCCATATAAAACCCAATGGATAGAACTAAAGCTATACTCAGAAAATATTCTAGCCATTAATGTTTTTATTACCAAAAACACTGAAAATAAATTATATATTTAATTCAGTAACCTATTAAACTAATAATAATAAAACCAGAGCAAGTTGAAATTAAAGTGGAAAACAAAAAGGTAAAAGAATTAACTAGAGAAGATGTTATTTCTTTGAAGATATGAATAAAATAGAGCAACTAATAGGTTTAGAACAGCGGTTCTCAACCTGTGGGTCGTGACCCCTTTGGGGGTCGAATGACCCTTTCACAGGGGTCGCCTAAGACCGTCGGAAAACACATATATAATTACATATTGTTTTTGTGATTAATCACTATGCTTTAATTATGTTCAATTTGTAACAATGAAATTGGGGGTCACCACAACATGAGGAACTGTATTAAAGGGTCGCGGCATTAGGAAGGTTGAGAACCACTGGTTTAGAAAATACGTAGGTTTCATCCGTGGTTCTTGTGATTTTTTTGCTTTAAAGTTTGGTGCTGTGCATGGTCGCACTCATAGGTGGAATCTAAGTAACAAAATAAACTGATGAATGGAGTGGATCCAGATTCAAGCATGGAACAGAGTTCGGAATCTCAGAGGGAAGGCGGGGTGGGTGAGTGGGTGGGAGGTAATCAACCGAAGACCTTGAATGCATATATGCGTGGCCCATGGACACAGACAATAGGGTGCTGGAGGCCTGGGGCGGGCTGGAGGGGGTCAATGGGAAAAGGGGGGACATATGTAATACTTTCAACAATAAAGAATTATTTAAAAAGTAAAGTCTGGTGCTGTGTTCAACAAAACATAATCACGTCATTTAGTGAGGGTTTCATTCATTTATTACTTTTTTTTTAAAGCCTGTTGACCATCGATATCAATAAGGATATTGATGGTCAACAGGTGTTTTTTTTGTTTGTTTGTTTTTTTAATTATAAAACACACACACCGTTTTAAAACGTTGGAAAGACGAAGTTTACGAACTATGGTTTCGGCTGCTCTGTGTGAGCAGGTAGCCAGTGCCCGGCCTCCAGTTCATTTCAGGCGCTCGGGGCTCCTGCCAGGTCAGCGCTGTCCTGTCTTGGCGATGACGCTGCCGGCTGCCCGCTGGGATGTGCCCTGAGCTCAGGGCTGACCCAAGACCACCAGGTCCGGCAGGTGAGCAGCCCCGAGGCTGCAGGGGGGACGGCCCCGCCGCAGGTGCACAGGCTCTGGGTGTCGGGAGCCTGGGCCCGAGGCGCGGGCCCGTTAGGCCTTGCAGGACGCACTGGCGGGTGCAGGGCCGAGGCCAGCGGGCGAGCTGACCCTCCTTTTGGGGCGCAGCGGGGCGGCCAGGTGCGGCGGGCCGGGCCGGGCCGGGGCCGAGGCCGGACCGGCGGGCGCAGCGCCCCCTGGGCGTGCAGGTTGCTGGGTGGCGAGGGGCGCGCGCGGGCTGCGGGGACGCGCGGGCGGCGAGGCCTGCGCGCCAGTCTGCGGGAGCCATGCGGCCGACCAGGAGGAGCGCGTCCTCCGAGCCGCGCGGGCAGAAGCGGCCCGGGGCCTCCCGGGCTCCCGCCGCCGCCGCCTCGGCTCCCGGCAACACCCGCGCCCCGCGCCCCGCGGGCCAAGCCGGCGGCCGGAGCCGGGCGGCGAAGCAGCGGCCGAGGCCGTCGTCGCCGCGGGCCCAGGAGGCGGGCCCCGGGGAGCCTCCGCCAGAGCCGGCGCTGCCGCCGCCCCCGATCCCGGCGACTCCGACGTCCTCGGTGGCCACGCTGGACCTGGGCGACCAGCGGGAGCGCTGGGAGACGTTCCAGAAGCGGCAGCGGCTCACCTTCGAGGGCGCCGCTAAGCTCCTGCTGGACACCTTGTGAGTGCGGCGGAGGGGGCGGGGGAGGAGGCCTGGGGCTGCGGGGCCGAGGGGTCGGGGGGCCCGGGGGTCGGGAGGGGCGCGGGGCCGGGGGTCGGGGCTGCGGGGCGGGCGTGCGGCTGCGGTTGGGGCAGGTCTTCGGTTCTGCGTTGCACCCGTGGTGTGACCGCCGCGCCCTCGGGGCACCGGGCTCGGTCCTCATCCTCAGGGCCGCGCCGCTCGCCGTCAGGGGTGCGCGGCCTTGCCTGGGCCGGGGCTTCTCCCCTCGGCCCCGAGCCGGGACGCGCGGCGCAGCGGGGCCGGGTCTTCCCGGGGGGCCAGGGAGCTGGGGCGCCGGCGGCGGTGCGGGAGGAGGCTGGCCCGGGCTCTCTCACCCGGGCCGCTTGTGTGCGCGCAGGTGTTGGGGAGAGGCGGCGGGAAAGGAGGGGGGGAAAGCCCAGCACAAGTTCTCAACTAACGGGTGCGGAATCCCGTTTTTGTTCCAGGCGCTCGCTGCGAGGGAGCGGGCGGCGGGAGGGGGTTCTGCACCGAGAGGAGCGCGCGGGAAGCGCTGCGGGGCCTGAGGGGCGCGGGCGGGGCGAGGGCTTTTGTGCTCCTTCCCCGCTGCCGCCGGCCCCGCAGAGCTCGGAGGCTGCGGGCAGAGCCCCGCTCCTCGAGGCAGAGGAGGACCGGGGCCGCGCTGTTGGGGGAGCGGGCGGGGGTGGGGGGGACTAGTGATGAGTCTCCGGCCCGGCCGCCTGTTTTTCTCCACACGCGACAGCGCCCAGACCCCTGCCCTGGGGCCCGGTTGTACTTCCGAGAAGGATTTTAGCACCTTAATACCTCTCCGTGTCGATTATTTATGAATTAAAAAGATCAAAACCCTAGAAAAACACTATTGGCAAGGGCCCGAGGATTATTCCTGAGTAAGAATGTTCCTTGTCTTTGTTCCAGAAGAAATTCGCTTCGTGAGAACGAGTCTTCCCAGAGACGGACTATTTGGTTTTGTGTGCTTCACTTTTTGTCGTTTTGGACTGAATATTATTTTACTTATAAGAAACCAAAACTCACCATATTAACTTACATGCGAAAGGAATGTACAGTTCTGCACTGTTTTTGTTAAAATATTGTATAAAAAAAAAGTCTGCAGGAATATATAGCAAATAGTTAACTGGATTCCTGTGGGTGTTAGGATTATAGGAATTTTTCATTTTGATTGTTATCAAGTGCTGTAACGTTTGAACTTTTTTTTTTTTAAATAGATTTTATTGATTTTTTTTTTACAGAGAGGAAGGGAGAGGAATAGTTAGAAACATCGATGAGAGAGAAACATCGATCAGCTGCCTCCTGCACACCCCGCAATGGGGATGTGCCTGCAACCCAGGTACATGCCCTTGACCGGAATCGAACCTGGGACCCTTCAGTCCGCAGGCCGACACTCTATCCACTGGGCCAAACCGGTTAGGGCACGTTTGAACTTTTTACAGTAAGCATTAATTATATATGCAGAAAAAATTTAAATACATCAAATTAACTCATTCAACTTGTAAAGAAACATGATAAACCATTCAGTCTTTAAAATTCTTTAAAAATTATAGTTGACGCAATATATTAGGTTCAGGTGTACAACATTGTGATTCGATATTTATATACTTTATGGTGTGATCACTACAAGTCTAATAATAATGTTGTCACCCTACAAAGTTATTGTGTTGTTATTCCCTGTGCTGTACCTTAAATCCCCATGGCTTATCTTATAACTGAAAGGTAGTACCTTTTATTCCCCTTCACTTTTTAAAAAATATATTTTTATTGATTTCAGAGAGGAAGGGAGGGGGAGATAGAAACATCGATGATGTGAGAGAATCATTGATTGGCTGCCTCCTGCATGCTGGCAACCTGGGCATGTGCCCTGATGGGGAATCGAACCATGACCTCCTGGTTCATAGGTACCGGTGCTCAACCACTGGGCCATGCTGGCCTTCACTTTTTTTAAAAAAATTATTATTTTTAATCTTTATTGTTGAAAATACTATGTATGTCTCCTTCCCCTCCCCCAGTGGCTCCCTCCTGCCTGACCCATTGTGTCCATGGGCCATGCATACATGCATATAAGAACCTTGGTTGATACTCTCTCACCCTCCCACCCTCTCCCTTCACCTTTTTTAGCCATTCCCTAATAACCAAATAAATGCAGATTAAAACTGCAAGCTGTTTTTTCCTGTATTTATTGCTTGAAAAGGTACAGTGAAATGTTTTCCCATTCATTACTGATAAGACTGTCCAGTTCTAGAAAGCAATTTGATGATATTTACCAAATCCTAGTGATGTTCAATTAAGGGCCTGGATAAATATAATAAGTTTTAAAAGGATTAAAATTATATGTAATGTGTATGTATAGCTTTGTAAAAAGTCATGTGTATGAAAATACTGGAGGAGAATATAGCAAAATGATAAGAGCTGTTGTTACTTTTTCAGAAGGCTTTTTTCTGAACCCTCAGACTCAGTTGGGTCTCATTGTCTTTCTTTTCCACAGCAGCCTGTACCACCTTTATCACAATCATTTCAATCCCCAACCTTTTTTTATTTGGGTAATTTGTTTGGTGGCCACTTAAGGTCAGTAAGGCCAGGAACTATATCTGCTGTATCTTGTTTACTGCTCTCTTTCCACTGCAGTGCACTTGGTTGGTAAAAATTTTGACATAAATAAAAATGTTTGAGTGGTGGGATTAGAATTCCCACCCCTAACCCCACCTGACCTTGTCCCAACATTTTTGGAATGCTTTCTTTTTTTAAAAAAAAAAATTTTTTTATTGATTTCAGAGAGGAAGGAAGAGGGAGAGAGAGAGAGAAACATCCATGATGAGAGAGAATCATGGATCGGCTGCCCCCACTGGGGATCGAGCCCACAACCCGGGCATGTGCCCTTGACCGGAATCGAACCTGGGCCATTTCAGTTCGAAGGCCGGCGCTCTATCCACTGAGCCAAACTGGCTAGTGCTGGAATGCTTTCTTTTGCATTCTTTTTTCATGTGTCCTTTTCTTTTGCATTTTTTATTTTTATTTATTTCAGAGAAGAAGGGAGAGGGAGAGAGGGATAGAAACCTCAGTGATGAGAGAGAATCATTGGTCAGCTGCCTCCTGCACGTCCCACACTGGGGATCGAACCCGCAACCTGGGCATGTGCCCTGACTGGGAACCGAACCGGGTTCATAGGCTAACGCTTAACCACTGAGCTACGCCGGCCGGGCTCGTCTAGGGTTTTTATGGTTTCCTGACTTACATTTAAGTCTTTCATCCATTTTGAGTTTATTCTTGTGCATGGTGTAAGTTGGTGGTCTAGTTTCGTTGTTGTTGTTTGTTTTTTGCATATGTCTGTCCCAGTTTTCCCAACACCGTTTATTGAAGAGACTGTCTTAACCCCGTTGTATGCTCTTGCCTCCTTTGTCAAATATTAATTGAGTGTAATGGCTTGGGTCGATTTCTGGGCTCTGTGTTCTATTCCATTGGTCTATATGCCTGTTCTTGTGCCAGTACCAGTTAGTTTTGATTATGGTGGCTTTGTAGTATAACTTGAAATCTGGTATTGTGATTCCTCCAACTTTGTTTTTCTTTCTCAAGATTGCTGCAGCTACTCAGGGTCTTTTTTGATTTCATATACATTTTTAAAGTATTTCTTCTAGATCTGTGAAATATGCTGTTGGTATTTTAAAAGGCACTGCATTTAATCTATAGATTGTTTTGGGTAGTATGGACATTTTAATGCTATTGATTCTACCAATCTATGAATACGGTATATTCTTCTACTTGTTTGTATTTCTTTTTTCAATGTCCTGCAGTTTCCCGAATACAGGTCTTTTGCCTCCTTGGTTAAGTTTATCCCTAAGTATTTTAATTTTTTTATTGTAATGGTAAATGGGATTGCTTGTTTAGTTTCTCTGAGTATTCATTATGGGTGTATAAAAAAGCCATAGATATTTGGGTGTTGATTTTGTATCCTGCTACATTGCCAAATTCACTTACTAAACCTAGGAGATTTTTTGTGGAGTCTTTAGGATTTTCTATGTACAATATCATATCATCTGCGAATAATGACAGTTTTACTTCCTCCTTTCCAATTTGGATGCTTTTTATTTCTTCTTCTTGTCTGATCGCTGTGGCTGGGACTTCCAGTACTATGTTGAAAAAGAGTGGTGGAAACGGACATCCTCGTCTTGTTCCTGTTCTTAGGGGAAATGGTTTCATTTTTTGCCCACTGAGTATGATGTTGGCTGTAGGTTTGTCATATAGGCCTTTATCATGTTGAGATACGCTCCCTCTATCCCACTTTGCTGAGAGTTTCTATCAAAAATGGGTGTTGGATTTTGTTGAATGCTTTTTCTGCGTCTATTGATATGATCATGTGATTTCTGTCTTTCAGTTTGTTTATGTGATGTATCATGTTACTGATTTGCGAATATTGTACCAGCCTTGCATCCCTGGAATGAATCCTACTTGGTCATCTTTTTAATATATTTCTGGATCCGACTTGCTAATATTTTGTGGAGGATTTTAGCATCTATGTTCATCAGGTATATTGGCCAGTAATTTTTCTTTGTAGTGTCTTTATCTGGTTTTGGAATGAGGATAATGCTGGCCTCATAAAAAGAGCTAGGAAGTGTTCCTTCTTGGATTTTTTAGAATAGTTTGAGGAAGATATGTGTTAGTTGTTCTGTGAATGTTTGGTAAAACACCCCCATGAAGTTGTTGAGACCCGGGCTTTTATTTACCAGGAGTTTTTTTTTTTTCTTCATATTTTTTTTAATTAAATCTTTATTGTTCAGATTATTACATTTGTTCCTCTTTTTTCCCCCCATAACTCCCCTCCTCCCAGTTCCCGCCCCACCCTCCGCCCTTACTCCCCACCCACTGTCCTCATTCATAGGTGCACGATTTTTGTCCAGTCTCTTCCCGCATCTCCCACACCCCTTTCCCCCACAAGAATAGTCAGTCCATTCCCTTTCTATGTCCCTGATTCTATTATGATCACCAGATTATTTATTCACTTGATTCTTAGATTCACTTGTTGATAGATGCATATTTGTTGTTCATAATTTGTATCTTTACCTTTTTCTTCTTCTTCCTCTTCTTAAAGGGTACCTTTCAGCATTTCATATAATCCTGGTTTGGTGGTGATGAACTCCTTTAGCTTTTCCTTATCTGTGAAGCTCTTTATCTGACCTTCAGTTCTGAATGATAGCTTTGCTGGATAAAGTAATCTTGGTTGTAGGTTCTTGGTATTCATCACTTTGAATATTTCTTGCCACTCCCTCCTGGCCTGCAAAGTTTCTGTTGAGAAATCAGCTGACAGTCGTATGGGTATTCCCTTGTAGGTAACTGGGTTTCTTTCTCTTACTGCTTTTAAGATTCTCTCTTTGTCTTTTGCTCTTGGCATTTTAATTATGATGTGTCTTGGAGTGGTCCTCTTTGGATTCCTTTTGTTTGGGGTTGGGGTTCTCTGTGCTTCCTGGACCTGTAAGTCTATTTCTTTCACCAGGTGGGGGAAGTTTTCTGTCATTATTTCTTCAAATAGGTTTTCAATATCTTGCTCTCTCTCATCTTCTGGCACCCCTATAATTCTGATGTTGGTACGCTTGAAGCTGTCCCAGAGGCTCCTTACACTATCTTCGTATTTTTGGATTCTTTTTTCATTTTGCTTTTCCAGTTGGGTGTTTTTTCTTCTTCACGTTTCGAATCTTTGACTTGATTCTTGTGCTCCTCTGGTCTGCTGTTGGGTGTCTGTATAATATTCTTTATTTCAGTCAGTGTATGCTTAATTTCTAGTTGGTTCTTTATCACAGCATCGAGGGTCTCATTAGATTTCTTGAGGATCTCACTACATTTATCGGCGGGTCTCACCAGTCTTTTCGAGGGCCTTACTAAGTTTATCGACAGCTTCTAGACAGTTGTTGAGAGACCTTAACAGTGTGGTTTTGAGCTCTATATCTTCCATTTCTGACATTTGCGTCCTGTTTCTTTGTGTCCGCATTTTTTTATCTTTTCTTAGTGCACCCCCTAGTGGTCTTTGTGCGAAGTCTTGTTGTAATTAAGCCTTGATTGCTGTCGGCAATACCAGGGTTGATTTGACCTCCAGGCTAACTGGCTATGAGAGTCAGCTGTGTCTGCAGTGGGAGAGCTTCTGTGTCTACCAGGAGTTTTTTGATTACTGCTTCAGTTTCATCAGTGGTTATTGGCCTATTCAGGTTTTCTGATTCTACCTGATTCAGTTTTGGGAGATTGCGTTTTTCTAGGAATTTGTCCATTTCATCCACATTGCCCAGCTTTGTTGGCACATAGTTGTTCATAGTATTTCCTTAAAATCCTTTGTATTTCTGTCGTGTCAGTGGTTACTTTCCACTTTCATTTCTGATTTTATTTTTTTTGGTCTTCTCTCTTTGTTTCTTGATGAATCTAGCTAATGGTTCATCAATTTTGTTTATCCTTTCAAAGAATCAGCTCTTGGTTTCATTGCTTTTTGTATATTTTTTTTTTAGTCTCTGTCATTTATTTCTGTTCTCATCTTTATTATTTCCTTTTTTCTACTTACTCTGGGCTTTTCTTGTTCTCTTTCTGGTTCTTTAAGTTGTAGTGTTAAACAGTTTATTGGTAATTTTTCTTGTATTTTAAGGTATACTGTAGTGCTATGAACTTCCCTCTCAGGACTGCTGTTGCTGTGTCCCAGAGATTTTGGGTTGTTATGTGTTCATTTTTGTTTCTTCCCAGGAAGTTTTTTATTTCTTTCTTGATCTCAGTGGTAACCCTTCATTGTTTAATAACATGCTACTTAGCCTCCATGTGCTTGAATGTTTTGGGAGTTTTTACTGTAGTTGTTTGCTAATTTCATTCCACTGGGATCTGAGAAGATGCTTGATATGATTTCAGTCTTCTTGAACTTGTAGAGATTTGTTTTGTGTCCTAACATGTGGTCTATCTTTGTGAATGATCCATGTGCCCTTGAGAAGAACGTATATTCTGCAGTTTTGGGGTGAAATGTTCTAAAAATGTCAATTAAATCCATCGGATCCAGTGTGTCCTTTAGAGTCACTGTTTCCTTGTTAAGTTTTTGCCTGGGAGATCTATCCAGTGAAATCAGAGGGGTGTTAGAGTTCCCTACTGTGACTGTACTGTTGTTGATCTCTCCCTTAAAGTCCTCTAGAAATTTTGTTATATATTTAGGTGCTCCTATATTGAGTGCACATATGTTTACCAGGGCTATATCCTGTTGTTGAATCCATCCCTTTAGTATTATGTAGTAACCTTTGTTGTCTCTTGTGATGGCCTTCATTTTGAAGTCTATTTTGTCAGATATGGGTATTGCTACTCCAGCTTTTTTTCTTTTCCATTTTTTTCATCCCTTCACTCTCATCCTGTGTGTGTCTTTTGTTCTGAGGTGGGTCTCTTAGAGACAGCATATAGTTGGGTCATGTTTTTTGTAACCATTTAGCTACCCTAAATCTTCGATGGGAGCATTTAAACCATTTACATTTAAGGTTATTGTTGATAGGTACTTATTTATTGCCATTTTAATTCTGTATGCCCGGGTTTCTCTCTCTCTGTCTTCTTCTCATTACAGCAGTCCCGTTAGCATTTCTTGTAATGCTGGCTTGGTGGTGATGTACTCCTTTAGCCTTCTTTTGTCCAGGAAGCTGTTTATTTCACCGTCTATTTTGAATGTGCACTTGAATTACTATAGCCTTGCTGGATATAGTAATCTTGGTCTCAGATCCTTGCTTTCCATTACCTTGAGTATACCATGCCATTCCCTTCTGGCCTGTAGAGTTTCTGATAAGAAATCAGGTGTCAGCCTTATGTGAGCTCCTTTGTAAGTAATAGTTTGTTTTTCTCTTGCCGCCTTTAAGATTCTCTTTGTCATTAATTTTGGCATTTTAATTATGATGTGTCTGGGCATGGGCCTGTTTGGGTTCTTCTTACTTGGGATTCTCTGTGCCTCCTGGACTTTTGTGACTTTTTTCTTTACCAGGTTATGGAAGTTTTCTACCATTATTTCTTCAAACACGTTCTCTATCCCTTTCTCCTTTTCTTCCTCTTCTGACACACCTGCTATTCTAATATTGTTTCGTTTCACGTTGTCCCACAGCTCCCTTATGCTGTCCTCCTGTTTTCTAATTGCTTTTTTCTTTTGGGTTCTCTGATTGAGTGAGTTTTTTTCAACCTTGTCATCTAATTCACTGATTCAGTCCTCAGCTTCCCCTAATCTGCTGTGTATTCCTCCCAGTGCATTCTTTGTTTGTGCTATGACCTCCTTTATTTCTGTTTTCATAGTTACTATATCTTTTCTCATGCTGTTGATCATCTTTACCATCATTATTCTGAACTCTATATCAGATAAATTTCTTATCTCTGCCTCATTTATTTCTTCTGGATAATTCTCTAGTTCTTTCATTTGTGGGTTGTTTGTTTCATCTCCTCATTTTGGCTGCCTGTTTGGGTTTGTGACTCTGTATTGGGTAGCTCTGCTGCGCCTCAGAAATTCTTATCTTTCTGACTTTCTGTTTTATGTAGCGAATACCAGGGCCTGGTGAAACACACAGGAGGCTGCCACTGTGGAGCAGTTCGCTTTGAAGTTTGGGCCTCGGCAGACTTGCACATCTTCGACTGCAAGTGAGTGTTTTCTCTTCCCAAGTTGGCTTAAGAGGACTTCGAGCCGAAACCGGTTTGGCTCAGTGGATAGAGCGTCGGCCTGCGGACTGAAAGGTCCCGGGTTCGATTCCGGTCAGGGGCATGTGCCTGGGTTGCGGGCACGTCCCCAGTGGGAGATGTGCAGGAGGCAGCTGATCGATGTTTCTCTCTCATCGATGTTTCTAACTTTCTATCTCTCTCCCTTCCTCTCTGTGAAAAATCAATAAAATATATTTAAAAAAAAAGAGGACTTCGAGTTAAAACACAGTGCTTCAGCCTTTCCCGGGGAATTGGGGTATAGGTGAAGCAACATACAGTTGATAATTGTTGGAGTCAGGTGATATGTATATAAGGGTTCATTGTTCTATTCTTTTTCCTGTTGTGTGTACTAGAAGTTTTTTTTTTAAATTTAAAACTTTGTTTTTAATCCTCACCGAGGGTATGTTAATTGATTTTTTGAGAAGAGAAACATTGATGTGAGAGAGAAACATAGACGGGCTGCCTCCCATAGGAGCCCCGGCCAGGGATTGAACCTGCAACGCAGGTATGTGCCTTGACTGGGAATTAAACCCATGACCTTTCAGTGTCCAGGACAATGCTCCAGCCAACTAAGCCACACTGGCCGGAGCTAGAAGTTTTGTTTGCTTTTTTTGTTGTTGTTGCTGTTGTTAATCCTCACTTGAGGAAATTTTTCCATTGATTTTTAGAGAGAGTGGAAGGGAGGGGGAGAGACAGAAAACATCGATGTAAGAGAGGCACATTGATTGGTTGCCTCCCTTACACACCCTGATCAGGGCCAGGGATCGAGCCTGCAACCTAGGTATGTTCCCTTGACTGGAATCAAACCCAGGACCCTTTAGTCTGCAGGCCAGCGTTCTATCCGCTGAGCCAAACCAGCTAGGGCTAGAAGTTTTTAATAATAATTTTTTTAAAAAAGATGGAGGCTAAAAATAACTGAGTCTGCTCTGTATGTGAGTGTGTGTGCATGAATGAGTGAGAGAGATAGATAGATAGAGAGAGAGAGAGAGAGAGAAATAGCACTTCTATAGAGAGAGAGAGAGCGCACTTCTACAGTACCACTCAGGTGACACAGAGCAGGGTCCTCTGGCTTGTGCCCGGCAGAGTCAGCCCCCAGACTGGTGGGTGGGGAGTGGTAGCTGGAAGTGGGTCAGTCTGGGCACTGAACGAATGCTTTGGGCAGAGTCTTCAGAGTTGGGGGAGGTGGAGGGGAAGGGAGAGGAGGGTGTGCACACTGTGCTGGGCCCTCTCGCTGGGTTCTTCCAGGTGGAGGGCCTGCTTTTTAGCACACTCCCTGGCCTTGTGACAGAGCAAGGACAGGCTCAGTGTTTGGACCTTTTGTCCTTAGGTGGTCCCTGAGTTATATGAGAAAAAATATCATGGAACTGACCAGGCTACTAACAGTGGAGTCCAGACTGAAGAAGCACCATGGCTTCTATACCAGAGTATTAGAGGCTCTTCTTATCGAGGATTCTGTACTAAATTAGAATTTTTTTAAAAAGGTGGACTGAAAAGAGAGGGCTTAGATTTAGTTCCACAGATGGTCATCCGAGGGCCTGTTTTACTTGGAGCTGGGCTTACTGTGATATGCAAATGAGCAAAGAGGGACACGTAACCTTTCTTGTCCATTTTGGTGTGGCTCTCCCAGAGGTAGAAGATTGTAGCTATGCCTGGGATCAGTGTGTCTAGAACAGCCGTGGGCAAACTACGGCCCGCCGGATCCGGCCCGTTTGAAATGAATAAAACTAAAAAAAAAAAAAGACCGTACCCTTTTATGTAATGATGTTTACTTTGAATTTATATTAGTTCACACAAACACTCCACCCATGCTTTTGTTCCGGCCCTCCGGTCCAGTTTAAGAACCCATTGTGGCCCTCGAGTCAAAAAGTTTGCCCACCCCTGGCCTAGAACCAACAGCTCCCTGCCCTGTAGTGAAGTGGGGGTGGTAACAGACACGTGGTTCTCTTGGTGAGGGTCTTCAAAGGGATGCGTGGTCCCCACTGCTGAGGGTGGGGCCTGCGGGCAGAGACCCAGGCGGCCAATTTCGCTGCCGGAGCACCCCCTTCCCGGGAGAGTGCTGGCAGAGGCCTTACTCCTGGGGTCAGCCAGCTCTCAGATCATATCAGGTTGGGCCCCTTGGCACTCAGAGGGTGGGGAGGGCTGTTCATAATCTGGGACTTGCTCTTTCTTTCTGTAGCTGCAGTGTTTGTAAGAAGAAGCAGAACAGACACTTCATTGTTCCTGCTTCTCGCTTCAAGCTCCTGAAGGTTAGTGCTAAGAGCAGGGCTGACGATGCAGAGCCCACTGGCAGCACCCCGGCTGACTGGCAGCACCCCTTAGCGTTCGAGGGGACAGGAGCGCAGCACGGCGCCTCTGGGCGGTCCCTTCCCTGGTCACCCAGGCTTCATGTGTATTTGTAAAGGTTTTGTTATGTTTTCCTTTATATTTTGGATGCTTATGTGATATTACTGAGGAAACATTTTCAAATAAATAAGATCATCCGAATCCTATCAACTAAAGGTAATCACTGTGAATATATTGGTGTATATCTTTGTGCATGATTTTCTACGCAGATAAATACATCTGAATATGTATTTTGTCTTTTATCAAAGTAGGATTTTACCTTCCTTTCTGTTTTATAACCGACTTTAGCATTTCCCAGTGAAAAATATACGATATAAGATTTTTAAACGTTATTACTGTGGGGAGTTTTTTGTTCTTGGGGCAGCATCTGAAAGGAGGGACACGCAGGTACACAGTGCAGTCTTCCCCGCTGCCCCTCTCGTCCTCCGGCTCCAGTCCCTGGGCTCTTGTCCTGCTCTGCGTTTGCAGCCCAGGGAGACTAGTGAACAAGTGCATGGGTCCCTGCCTTTCTGGGAAGTGAGGGACTTACTACCAGTACTTTGGGCTCATTTGTCTCCTATTGTTTGTCAGCCCTCGGTCCTCATGCGTGTGGTGGGGGCGGGGGGACAGGGGTCAGCAGACCTGTCTCTCCTCTTTCCCGGAGGTCCCAAGGACTGCCCGTCCCCTCAGAGCCCCATGGCTGCGGCCCAGGTCGCCTTTGCTCCTGGCACCCAGGGCGGACGGTGTTTGAAGACACCAGCGGGTGCAGCCGGGGCTCTGGGTCTCGGACTCACACTTTTTCTTCTGGGGCCTGCCTATCAAGGCGTTCTTCTCGTGCTCCAGAGCGCCATCCTCTTCTTTGGCTCCAGTCTGTTGAAGGAGCAAATTTCTGCTTATATTTTTGTATTTATTCTTTTTAATTAAAAAAAATTTTTATTGATTGGTTTTTAGAGAGAGAGAGAGACATCGATTTGTTGTTCCACTTATCTATGCACTCGTGGGTTTCATGGCTTGATTCTCGCAGGTGCCCTGACCCAGGGGTCGAGCCCACATCCCAGGTGCACCCGGACAACCTCTAACCAACCGAGCCACCAGCCAGGGCTTATTCATTCATTTTAAGTTGACACATAACATTATATTAGGTTCAGATACGCAGTGGAGAGATTCATTATATGTACATATTGTGTGTTTTTAAAAAAGTAAGTACAACCTTACTCATTCAGCAAGTATTTATGGGACACCTGCTGCGTGCAGGCACTGCTCCACTGAAGCCCAGCCGTTGGCAGGACAGGTCCGTCTCGGAGCTGACAGTCTATAGAGGGGACACAGAAGAACTAAGTAAGGAGAAGTCCGATCGTGCTGTGCAAAGAGTAGAGCAACACGCAGGTGACCGCTGGGGGCTGGAGTAGATTGGTTAGGAAAGGTCCCTCCGGTGCTCAGCTCTCAGTGGTGAAGGTGGGGTGCGTAGGTGGAGGAGCTCCCCAGCAAAGAGAGAATATAGTGCAGGGGGCTTCCGAGCACAGCCGTGGCATGCCTGAGGAACGGACCAGCCGTTGTGACCGCAGAAGGTCAGTGAGGTGGAGGCGAAAGGGTAGACTAGGGCGGGGTTGGCGAGAGCAACAGCAGGAGGGGGTAGCTTTTACTCTCTGTGTGTGTGAAGTTCGCGGAGGGGCGTAAGCAGGGCAGTGACAAGACCTGCTTCAGTGTTTTAAAAGCTCACTTTGGCTGTTGTGTGGAGAGTGGCTTGTAAGGAGGCAGGTGCAGACGGGGATAGCTAAGAGGTTGTCGAGGCGGGTCAGGTGAGAGATGATGGGAGCTTGGATTCAGACGGTAGTCATGGAGATGGAAAGAATAGATAACTGGAGATGTGCTTTTCTTCTTCATTGATTCTAGAGAGAGGCGTGGGGAGAGAGAGAAACATGGATGTGAGAGAGAAACATCGATTGGTTGCCTCCTTCTGTGCGTCCCTTAACCGGGAATTGAACCCACAACCTGGATATGTGCCCTGACTGGGAATTGAACCCACAACCCTTTGGTGCACGGGATGATGCTCTAACCACTGGCCAGGGCTGGAGATATGTTTTGAATAGGTAATTGAACAGGTGTCTTAGAGCAGTGGTTCTCGCACCTCAGTGTGCACGGTCACTTACAGGGCATGCTAAACAGGTGGCCGAGCCCCACTCCTGATCCGTGGGTCGTGGGATGGGAGTGAGAGTTTACATTTCTATGTGTTCATGTGATGCTCTTGGTGAGGACCACGCTCTGAGAGCTGCTGTTGTAGAGAAGGGTACACAGAACTCTGTAAAGGATCGGGCGTGAAGAGGAGGAAGAGAGAGCAAAGTTACATCCACAGTGTTGGGCCTAACCAACGAGGCGAACAGAGATGCCAGATCCTGGGCGAGAAGCCAGTGAGATGCTGGAAGCAAGAGTTCTTTTTTGAAAAAGTTGGATTGAAGTTATCTTTTGGACACTCATGCAGAGATAGGAAGTGGGCCGCTGGAGGTGAGTCTGGGGTTGTGGGGAGAGAGCACAGCTGCGGCTGCCGATTTGACAGTGGTTGGCATATGAGACCGGGCGAGGCCAGCTGGGTAGAGGGTGTAGCCAAAGAAGGGAGAGGGCCGAGGACAGCTCCTGGGCTCGCCAGCATTTATCGAGCCCGAGGAGGATGGCCAGCGGGAGGGGAGAGACAGGAGTGTGGGTGTCCTCAGAGACACAAACTTTAAATGGAAGGCGTGGTACTGAGAGGCCAGTAGAAGAGCAAGTTAAAAATCCAGTGGTCGAGAGAAGTGCCCATTAGATTAGTCAGGATGCTGCCCTTGGTGAGTGTGATTGGCCTGAGACAAGCGATGACAGGCTGTGCGCTCAGTGGGACGAGGGCTGTGGTCAGGCTGGTGGGCGCACGGGATCGCGCGGGAGTGAGGATCGGAGGTCACCGGTGCGGGGGGTGTGAGGCAGCTCCCCACTCTGGGGAATTTCTCGGGAAAGTGTGTAATCAGATCACTCTGGCTGGTTTGGGACCACTTGGCTGTTGCTCTTTGCAGCTTCTCTGGTGAAGTGGCCGCAGGGTGAGGAGAGGCCCCTGAGGGAACTGTTTTTATAGGAGACGCAGAGCTCGAAGGTGTTCTGGCGGCTGGGGAAGAAGCCTAAGAAAACCTCCACCCCAACCCACAGTCACACACACACACACACACACACACACACACACACACACACACACACAGAAACCCTCCACCCCAACCCACAGACACACACACACACACACACACCACACACACACACACACACAGAAACCCTCCACCCCAACCCACAGTCACACACACACACACACACACACACACACAGAAACCCTCCACCCCAACCCACAGTCACACACACACACACACACACACACACAGAAACCCTCCACCCCAACCCACAGTCACACACACACACACACACACACACACACAGAAACCCTCCACCCCAACCCACAGGCACACACACACACACACACACACACAGAAACCCTCCTCCCCAACCCCCAGTCACACACACACACACACACACACACACACACACACAGAAACCCTCTACCCCAACCCACAGACACACACACACACACACACACACACACACACAGAACCCTCCACCCCAACCCACAGTCACACACACACACACACACACACACACATAAACCCTCCACCCCAACCCACAGTCACACACACACACACACACACACACAGAAACCCTCCACCCCAACCCACAGACACACACACACACACACACACACACAAAACCCTCTACCCCAACCCACAGACACACACACACACACAACGCAACACACAGAAACCCTAAAACCCTCCACCCCAACCCACATACCACACACACACACACACACACACAGAAACCTCCACCCCAACCCACAGTCACACACACACACACACCACACACACCACACACACTAAACCCCTCCACCCCAACCCACAGTCACACACACACACACAGAAACCCTCCACCCCAACCCACAGCACAACACACACACACACACACACACACAAGAAACCCTCCACCCCAACCCACAGTCACACACACACACACCACACACACACACACACAGAAACCCTCCACCCCAACCCACAGTCACACACCACACACACACACACACACACACACACCCCCACCACCCCAACCCACAGTCACACACACACACACACACACACATAAACCCTCCACCCCAACCCACATCACACACACACACACACACACACACACACACACAGAAACCCTCCACCCCAACCCACAGTCACACACACACACACACACACACACAACACACACACACACAGAAACCCTCCACCCCAACCCACAGTCACACACACATACACACACACACAGAAACACCCCCACCCCAACCCACAGTACACACACACACACACACACACACACACGAAACCCCACACCCCAACCCACAGACACACACACACACACACACACACACACACACCCACCACCCCAACCCACAGACACACACACACACCACACACACACACACAGAAACCCTCCACCCCAACCCACAGACACACCCACACACACACACACACACACAAACCCTCCACCCCAACCCACACACACACACACACACACACACACACACACAGAAACCCTCCACCCAACCCACAACACACACACAACACACACACACACACACACACACAGCACCCTCCACCCCAACCCACAGACCACACACACACACACACACACACACAGAAACCCTCACCCCAACCCCACATACACACACCACACCACACACACACAGGAAACCCTCCACCCCAACCCACCACACACACACACACACCACACACACACACCCCACCCACCCCAAACACACACACACACACACACCACACAGAAACCCTCCACCCCAACCCCAGACACACACACACACACACACACACACACACACACAGAAACCCTCCACCCCAACCCACAGACACACACACACACACCACACACACACAGAAACCCTCCACCCCACACCACAGACCCACACACACACACACACACACACCCCCACCCCAACCCACACACACACACACACACACACACACAGAAACCCTCCACCCAACCCACAGACACACACACACCCACACACCACACAGAAACCCTCCACCCCAACCCACAACCCACACACACACACACACACACACACACACAGAAACCCTCCACCCCAACCCACAGACACACACACACACACACACACACAAAACCCTCCACCCCAACCCACAGCACACACACACACACACACACACACACACAGAAACCCTCCACCCCAACCCACAGTCACCACACACCACACACCACACACACACACAGAAACCCTCCACCCCAACCCACAGTCACCCACACACACACACACACACACACAGAAACCCTCCACCCAAACACACACACACACACACACACACACACAGAAACCCTCCACCCCAACCCACAGACACACACACACACACACACACACACACACAGAAACCCTCCACCCCAACCCACAGACACACACACACACACACACACACACAGAAACCCTCCACCCCAACCCCACACACACACACACACACACACACACACACACAACAAAACCTCCACCCAACCCACAGACACACACACACACACACACACACACACACAGAAACCCTCCACCCCAACCCACAGTCACACACACACACACAGAAACCCTCCACCCCAACCCACAGACACACACACACACACACACACACACACAGAAACCCTCCCCAACCCCCACCCCCACCCACACACACACACACACACACACACACACAGAAACCCTCCACCCCAACCCACAGTCACACACACACACACACACACACACAGAAACCCTCCACCCCAACCCACATACCACCACACACACCCACACACACACACACACAGAAACCCTCCACCCAACCCACCCCCCCCCACCACCACACAGACCCTCCACCCCAACCCAAGACACACACACACCACCACCACACACACACACCCACACACACAACCCTCACCCCCCCCACACACCACACCCAACACACACAGAAACCCTCACCCCAACCCACAGTCACACACACCACACCACACACACACAGAAACCCTCCACCCCAACCCACAGCACACACACACACACACACACACACACACACAGAAACCCCCACCCCAACCCACAGTCACACACCACACACACACACACAGAAACCCTCCACCCCAACCCACAGACACACACACACACACACACACACAGAAACCCTCCACCCCAACCCACAGATACACACACACACAACACACACACACAGAAACCCTCCACCCCAACCCACAGACACACACACACACACACACACACACACACACACACAGAAACCCTCCACCCCAACCCCCCCCACACACACAAACCCTCCACCCCAACCCACAGACACACACACACACACACCCACACACCACACAGCACAGAAAACCCTCCACCCCAACCCCCCCCCCACCACACACAGAAACCCTCCACCCCAACCCACAGTCACACACACACACACACACACACACACACAGAAACCCGCCACCCCAAACCCACAGTCACACACACACACACACACACACAGAAACCCTCCACCCCAACCCACAGTCACACACAAACACACACACACACACACACACACACAGAAACCCTCTACCCCAACCCACAGTCACACACACACCACACACACACACACACACACACACAGAAACCCTCCACCCCAACCCACAGTCACACACAACACACAACACACACACAACACACACACACACAGAAACCCTCTACCCCAACCCACAGTCACACACACACACACACACACACACACACACAGAACCTCCACCCCAACCCACAGACACACACACACACACACACAGAAACCCTCCACCCCAACCCACAGACACACACACACACACACACACACACACACACACACACAGAAACCCTCCACCCAACCCACAGTCACACACACACACGCGCACACACACACAGAAACCCTCTACCCCAACCCACAGACACACACACACACACACACACACACACACAGAAACCCTCCACCCCAACCCACAGTCACACACACACACACACACACACACACAGAAACCCTCTACCCCAACCCACAGACACACACACACACACACACACACACACACAGAAACCCTCCACCCCAACCCACAGACACACACACACACACACACACACACACAGAAACCCTCCACCCCAACCCACACCCACACTCCTCACCCCCCGACACCACACAGCGGCACAAGTATGTATATCCTTTTTTAAAAAATAGGAATGGTAGTCTAGTACACACATTAGTATACCCTTTGCCTTTTCACTAACTTTGTGACCTTAGAGAAGATTCCGTATTAGTATTTGTAACTTTTGGAAAGTTGCAGAGGATTCCATTTTATGTGTCCATAGTTGCTTTAACTAGCCTTCTGTTGGACATTTTCAGTTTGTCCAGTTTTCAGCCTGTACAGACAGTGCTGTAATATCCATGTACATGTGTCATTGGAAACATGGAATTCTAATTGTGGGATACATTTCTAGACGTGGAGTTGCTCTGTCAAAGGATTGTTCATTTAAAATTTTGATGTCAGAACTCATCAGTGTATATTCTCACAACTGGCCCATTGAGTGATGTTCCTCCACATCTCCTCAGTACTGTGTTAAACTGCTTTTATATTTTGCCCACCTGACAGTGAAAAATATCTCATCGCAGTTCATGAGTGTAAACATTTCACAGGTTAAAGACCTATTTGTTTATTTTTTTCTTAATTTTTATTTATTGATTAGAGAGAGAAGAAGGGGGGGGGAGGAGAAACATCAACTTCTTGTCCCATTTATTTATGTGCTTGTTGGTTGATCTTGTAGGTGCCCTGACTGGGTATCAAACCCTCAACCTTACATTTTGGGTCAATGCTCTAACCAACTGAGCTACCCGCCAGGCCTGTTTTTTCTTGTCACTGTTTGTTCATGTTCTTTGTCCAATTTCTCATTTGTTATTGTCCATTTGGGAAATTAGTCTTTTGTCTCTGATGTCACGCAAAGACTCCTTTCTTAGTTTGTTCTTCACAACTGCAGTTGACTGTTTTCTCAAGACCTTCAGCGGCACTGTTGGGGGACATGGAGAGCCAGTCCCTAGCGCGGGCTGTCGACTCACTCGGGCCTGGAAAGCAGGCGTTTTCTTGCCCCGGTGTCGACAGGGCTGTCTGGCCGTGAACAGGGACACTGTGAGGCTGAGTTGCTCTGTGTGCAGTTGACCTGCGAGAAGGCATGAGCTGTCCTTTCTCCAGCACAGGCCCATCTACACGAGTCTCCTGGCTGTGCAGGTGGTTCCCTGGGGGATCGGACGTGTCCTCATCATCCCGAGGGCCCTGCAGAGGGGCTCCCTAATCCGTTGAGCCTTTTTGAAGATAGGTTTTTTAAGTGAGAAATAACATCTCTGTGGAAGGGGACACCTGTCTGTCTGTTTTCCCTTAGGGAGCGGAGAGCATCACCACGTACACGTTCAACACTCACAAGGCGCAGCATACCTTCTGCAAGAGATGTGGGGTGCAGAGCTTCTACACCCCCCGCTCCAACCCCGGCGGCTTCGGTGAGTAACGGGAATGGCACAGCTCGGGGGACACCCAGTCACCGGGCTGCTCGGGGCAGATCTGGTTAGCAAGGGGGGCACTGCGTGCTCGGCTTGCCCCTGCGTGGCGAGACCCTCCCGCATGCCTGTTTCAGAGGAACAGACGCTGGGACGGAAGCCTGGCTCTGGTTGGTCAGATGCCAGCCCCGTCCTGACCTCATCCTGGTGCTGCCAGCGCTGCCTCACGGGGCTGGCACTGAGGGACAGCGAGCAGGGGAGAGATGGGGGGCCTGTGGGAAGGGGGGTAACAATGGTGGTTACAGGGATAAGGAAGCAAGATCGAAGAGCATTGATAATGCCCTTCAAACTTTTTGGTTCAAAACAGAAACAGGAGAACCCCCCAAAGTCCCTCTTCCGGTCCTGCTTGATCTGGAGGCAGAAACAGCCTTTAGACGGTTGTTCAGAATGACGGCCCTTGCCATGTGAATTGAAACAGCAGTGGGGACGTCCCTGAGGGATCTCGTTCCTGTGGAGGCGCAGCCTCCAGGACTGGGGCAACTGGGCCGTGTCCTTGCCTCGTGGTGGGGAGGGCGAGGCACCACCTTGCTCTTATGCGCATTTCCCAGAGCAGCTGCTGCTTGTTCCCATGCGTCACATGGTGGCACCTTTTCCCTACCACGAAGCACAGGAAGGCTTTGGACAGTGTCAACTCCTGTACAGATGGGGTGGCATTTAATGCTTAGAAGCCACCTGGCTCAGCCAGAAAAGGCCTGTGAATTCTGCAGACTGTCAGTCAGAGATGGGTCCAGGTGGAGCCTTTCTGCTCTGTACTCAGCCGGTCCTGACAGATGGCCCGCCGTGGCCTCCCCTGGCTGAGGAAGGCTGATCCCCATCTCAGAGACAAGCAAAGTAAGCAGGACCCTGTAGGCTCACATGCAGCCCAGTGATGCTCGCAGGTGTGGGTTTGTCCAAGAGCCAGTAGAGCACCTGGTCTCACTCATACTGGGGACCCCTTTCTCTGTGCCACTTGCCCCCAGGAATCGCCCCACACTGTCTGGATGAGGGCACTGTGCGGAGTATGGTCATCGAGGAATTCAATGGCAGCGATTGGGAGAAGGCCATGAAGGAGCACAAGACCATCAAGAACATGTCTAAAGAGTGAGCGCCCGCTCTCTCCCTTTCTGGAAAGGAGGAATGATGGGGCCAGCAGCATGGCTGCCCCCCTCTGCACTCGGTGGTGCCGGCGAGCGTGGCTGCCCCAGGCTGCCGGGCTCAGGCCGGCCACCAGCTCCAGCTCTGCCCTTGACTCCAGCTACATTTCCTTAGGCAGCTCTTTGTCCTCCATCAGCCTGGACTTTGATGTAGACTAGTTGACATCCTCTTTCTCTTCCCAACTTTTGTGTGATCTTTTAGAAAAATAAATATTTTAATATTAAAGCAGTTACAGTGATTTATAATTTTCTTTGTCCTTTGATTTTGCTTCTGATTGTAAGTCTTTACCTCCTTGGTTAAGTTTATTCCTAAGTATCTTAATTTTTTTGTTGCAAAGGTAAGTGGGATTGTTTGTTTAGTTTCTTTTCTGAGAATTCATTATTGGTTATAAAACAACCATAGACTTTTGGGTGTTGTTTTTGTATCCTGCTACATCGCCAATTTCATTTATTAAATCTAGTAGTTTTTTGGTGGAGTCTTTAGGATTTTCTATGTACAATATCATATCATCTGCGAATAATGAGAGTTACTTCCTCCTTTCCAATTTGGATGACTTTTAATTCTTCTTGTCTGGTTGCTGTGGCTGGGACTTCCAGTACTGTGTTGAATAAGAGTGGTGAAAGTGGACATCCCTGTCTTGTTCCTGTTCTTAGGGAAAATTGTTTTAGTTTTTGCCCACTGAGTATGATGTTGGCTGTAGGTTTGTCATATAGGCCTTTATCATGTTGAGATACGCTCCCTCTATTCCCACTTTGCTGAGAGTTTTTTATAAAAATGGGTGTTGGATTTTGTCGAATGCTTTTTCTGCGTCTATTGATATGATCATGTGATTTTTGTCTTTCAGTTTGTTTATGTGATGTATCACATTTATTGATTTGTGAATATTGTACCAGCCTTGCATCCCTGGAATGAATCCTACTTGGTCATGGTGTATGACCTTTTCAATATATTTCTGGATCTGATTTGCTAATATTTTGTTGAGGATTTTAGCATCTATGTTCATCAGGGATATTGGCCTGCAATTCTCTTTTTTTTGACGTGTCTTTATCTGGTTTTGGAATGAGGATAATGCTGGCCTCATTAAAGGAGCTTGGAAGTGTTTTTTCCTCTTGGATTTTTTAGAATAGTTTGAGGAGGATATTGTGTTAGTTGTTCTTTGAAGGTTTGATAAAACTCCCCTGTGAAGCTGTCCAGACGCAGGCTTTTATTTGCTGGGGCTTTTTTGATTACTGCCTTCATTTCTTTCTTTTTTTTTTTTTTTTAATATGTTTTACTGATTTTTTACAGAGAGGAGGGGAAAGGGATAGAGAGTTAGAAACATCAATAAGCTGCCTCTTGCATGCCTCCCACTGGGGATGTGCCCGCAACCAAGGTACATGCCCTTGACCGGAATCGAACCTAGGACCCTTGAGTCCACAGGCCGATGCTCTATCTGCTGAGCCAAACCGGTTAGGGCTACTGCCTTCATTTCATTAGTTTTATTGGCCTATTCAGGTTTTCTGATTCCTCCTGATTCAGTTTTAGAAGAATGTATTTTTCTAGGAATTTGTCCATTTCGTCCATATTGTCCAGCTTGTTGGCATATACTTGTTCATAGTATTTTCTTACAACCTTTTGTATTTCTGTGGTGTCAGTTGTTACTTCTCCATTTTAGTTTCTGACTTTATTTATTTGGGTCCTCTCTCTTTGTTTCTTGATGAGCCTGGCTAATGGTTCATCAATCTTGTTTATCTTTTCAAAGAAGCAGCTCGGTTTCATTGCATTTTGTATTGTTTTTTTAGTCTCTATGTCATTTATTTCTGCTCTAATCTTTATTATCTTCTTTCTTCTACGTACTCTGGGCTTTTCTTGTTGTTCTCTTTGTAATTCTTTAAGTTGTAGGGTTAAGTAGTTTATTGTTAATTTTCCTTGTTGTGTTTTTTGAGGTATGCCTGTAGTGCTATGAACTTCCCTCTCAGGACTGCTTTTGCTGTGTCCCAGAGATTTGGGGTTGTTGTGTGTTCATTTTCATTTGTTTCCAGGAAGTTTAATTGGTTTTTTTTTTTTAGACATTAAAAAATAATACATACTTTTTTAATCTCAGAGAGGAAGGGAGAGGGAGAGAGAGATAGAAACGTCAATGATGAGAGAGAATTATTGACCGGCTACTTCCTGCAAACCCCTCACTGAGCTCAAGCCCTCAACCCATGCATGTGACTGGGAAACGAACTGCAACCTCCTGGTTCATAGGTCAATGCTCAGCCACTGAGCCACACGGCCGGGCCCATCTTAATTTTTTTTTTTTTAAATATATTTTATTGATTTTTTACAGAGAGGAAGGGAGAGAGAGAGTTAGAAACATTGATGAGAGAGAAACATCGATCAGCCACCTCCTGCACATCTCCTACTGGGGATGTGCCAGCAACCCAGGTACATGCCCTTGACCGGAATCGAACCTGGGACCTTTCAGTCCACAGGCCGACGCTCTGTCCACTGAGCCAAACCGGTTTCGGCCATCTTAATGTTTTTTAAGTGTACAGTTCAATAGTGTTAAGTGCACTCACATTGTGCATCCCATTTCCAGAACTGGTTGACTTGCAAAACAACTTCTGCAAGTTACCCATTAAACAACAAGTTAGAATCTACATTTTTAAAGGAAGCAAGATTTAGAAAGATAGACGGGAGAAGTAACTATGAACAGGTATGGGCACATGCTAATGGCAGGCGAATTGGATACTTGTGATGGAAGAAGTAATAGAAGAGAGCAGAAAAGTATGTTGAAGTCAGACTGTGGACTGTCCTAGATATTAGGCTCAGGAATTTGGCCTTCATTTCACAGGTATTGGGATCCCTGAACAGCTTTGAACAGGATAAAGAAAGCCTGGCCTGTTATGCACTCTTGTTTTTTTCTTTTCTAAGTTAAGTGTTTTTATATATATATTTTTAAAAATCTTTATCGTTGAAAGTATTACATAGGTCCTCCCCCCCCCCCCCCATTAATCTCTTCCAGCCACTCCCATCCCCGCAGCCTCCTGTTGAACACTCTTTTGACTGGTTTCCTGCCCCACTTGGTGCTTCACATTGCTTCCTGCATGCTACAGTCATTGACTTTCCTACAATAGTCCTTTCATCACCAAATAGAGTACATACATCATGGCAAATCTTAATAAATATTTGCTCTTTGCTTTAGGAAAATCAACTGAAATGATTGCGAGGTAGACTAGATAAGGGGAAAAGAGACAGAGGAAATTCAGTAGTTCCCCCTGTCCATGGTTTGGCTCTCAGTGGTTTATTACTCACGGTTAACCATAGTACCAAAGTATTAAATGGAAAATTCCACCTTACTTCCTCCCATCATGTTGGCATGTATCATCTTATCAGAAGTAGGGAGAGTACAGTGCAATATAGGGTATTTTTAGAAAGACCACATTTACATAAAATTTATTTCTGTATCTATATATATAAAAGCCTAAGCGACCATTAGGACTGGATGACTGGCCAGTAGCTATGACACACACTGACCACCAGGGGGCATATGCTCAATGCAGGAGCTGCCCCCTGGTGGTCAGTGTGCTCTCACAGCCAACCTCCCGTAGTCCCTCCCTAACCTGCTGGCTAGTCCTGATCGGCCCTGATCGCAGGCCAGGCCAAGGGACCCCCCTACCTGTGCACGAATTTGTGCACCAGGCCTCTAGTATTGTTATAATTTTCTACTTTATTATTGGTTATTGTTAATCTCTTACTGTGCCTGATTTGTAAATTAACCTTTGTCATAGATTTGTATGTACAGGAAAAGGTTTGGTATTCTCCACAGTTTTAGGCATCCACTGGGGTATTAATCATCTCCCCTGCAGATAAGGGGGGACAGTTGTACACATGGACTGGGGTTCTGTGTGGTCACCATCTCTGCCAAGTCATTGACAGCCTGTTGACAGACACCTTGTTCTGACTAAGGTGAAAGGAGTTGATAAGTTAGTTATCCAGGTAAAACATGAGTATATTATACAGTGAATGTTCCCTCTGGTATATCATACCTACCTTGTTAATTGCAATATTATGTAAAAATACAAATTTTTTCTATCTTTAAAAATTAAAAAAATATATATGTTTTTATTGGGAAAAGAAGGGAGAGGGAGAGAGATAGAAATATCTGCCCCCTACTGGGGATCAAGCCTGAAGCCCTGGGCATGTGCCCTAACTGGGAATTGAACTGTGACCTCCTAGTTCATGGGTCGATGCTCAACCAACTGAGCCACTCCAGCCAGGGCAATTTTGTGTATCTTTTAAAAACATAAATGACATCACTTTACACCTTTTGTTCTCACAACTTGCATTTTTGTTTAGAAACCTCAGTAGATATATCCTCATTATTAGCTGTTACATAGAATTGCATAGTATGGGTATAATTCATTAAACCTTTTTTTTTCATGGAAATTGGGGTTTCTAGTTTTTGCTTTACAATGAGTGTTAATGATGAACATTATTTTCCATGCCTCTTTACACGTGTATTCTTTGAGGACATAGAAGTGAAATTATTGGATTGAAGATATGCATATTTTAAATATTAAAAATATTGCTAAGTTGCCCTTGAAGTATATGCTAGCCTCTAAAATATCCATCTGCCCTGCACATAGCAGAGTGCCCTCACTATCACCTGATGTTATTAGTCTTTTTTTTTTTCTTTAAAAATAATTTATTCATTTTCCGATCACAAGGTACGGGACCGTGCAAGTGCGATGCCTGAGATGCTGTGGCTGCCGTCCTGCCTGTGCATCTGTAAATCCCTCTGTGCAACACCAGGTCCATCCTGCCCCCAGCAGTTGCTGCATCCTAACAGCTGCAGTCTAGTATCGTGTGGGAAGTTTAAAGAGTTCTCCAGCTTGTAAATGCTGAAAGGGAACTAGCTGTTCCAGGTGCTCATTTCCTAAAACTCTGAGTAAATCATATCCAACTGACAGGGCCATGTGAAGCTTTTAAAAGGCCTTTCTTTAAACAGCAGTGACTAAGGCCCCTCCCGTGTCCCCAGCCTTCTAAGGCCCAAGGCAAGGTGCCTGTGGCCCCGGAACAGCCCCTGGGCTTCCCCACATCCTAGGGGGCAATGGAGGAAGGGCAGGCCAGGCTAAGCGTGAGGAATAACAGTCAGTGTTACCGGGCGCAGACCAGGAGTCCATGGGCCTGGAGGACCGCTGTGAATTTGTCAGTTTTCTTCTCCGCGTTCTTTTCGGCCTGATTCCGGAGCCTCATGAG